GCTAAGAAGACCCTCTTCTCTTACTGGCATAGTAAAGGAGTCAGCCTTAGATTACAGGCAGACCCCCTTGGTTATCTATCCCCCAGAGCTCCCTACTCGATTACAATGTAAGACACATCAGCAGAGCTAAGGTCCAGACTGGCTGGAAAACTGAGATTCTACCTTGAGGCAGAGGTTAGATAATACCTAGATACTGAGTATTTTATTTCCCAGAATAGGAAGAGTGTGTGAAGCCCTGTGAACAGTACCCATCTCTCAGTATGCAGAAATTTTTCTCTAAATTAAAAAATAAAATTCAAGTATGGTATAGTCCAGAGACAGGAGGCATTCCCAAGTTGTCAGAATCCAAAAACAGACATCATAGAGTATTTCTTATTTCCATACACCTTCTAACTTGGTTATACCAAATTTGAACACAAAAATTCTTTCCAAATGCTCAGCATTTAGTTATATTGACAAATAATTCTTCACTATATTCATCCAAATAGACTATCCATTCTTAACCATTTAAAAATAGATTTCAACTGAGGAAGAAGTACAATAAATTTTATATAGTAAATAAACTTTATTTATCTTTTTCTCAGAGATGACACTGCCAATAGTCACAGATTTGCATACAATACAGTTATATACTGCCTATTCACAATTTACAGTAGCGTTTTTTCCTGTGAAAAATATAAGTACAAAAGCTAAGTAAACAATGAGGTAATGCCATTTGGGATTTATTACATGTCATAGCTTAAAGGACAGGTCTTTAGCAAATATTCAACAAATCAACCTGAATAAAATAGTCAATTAAATGCTCTAATTTATCAGAAAAAAATCCACTAAGTTTTACCTCAAAATGTATTGCACAAGTCTTTTTAAAAAACACCCTAAAAATAAATAGGAAAGGTAAGCAGTTCTTTAAAAGGAATGGAAGAAAGGAATATTATGTAAGCCCATAAAAGCAGGCTAAGTCATTCAAAATTTCTTTTAAACAACAAAAAACTCTTCCCAAGAGAAAACTGAAGAAAAATCAATCACCATTTCTCCACTGATAAAATCTATTTTAAAGGCATCTGCAACATATCTGTGGGCCAGATTTCTCCTGGTCTTTTGGCTACATGAGGGGCCCTGAATGACAACCTCACTCTCAGAGTAGGAAGTGTGGACAGTTTCCAAGCAGCAGTCGCCCAGCGGCGCTCTTCTTCAAGATGAAGATCGAAGCCATGACATTAGCCGAGCATCTTCTCTTTCCAAAATTTTCTGAGTCTGATCATCAGGGAATTTCAGTACAGTGGTTATAACTTTTGCCATGGTCTTAGTCTCACGACCCATCATATACTCAAAAAGCACTTTTCGCAAATACTTAAACTCGGTAGGTTATCCAAAGAGTGATACATCAGTATGATACAAATTTCCACCTTTGTAAGGTGTCCCCACAGTTGTTGCATATACATTCTTTTCATATTTCTTCAAACGGTCTTCTAAATTGTGAATCTGTTCTCGGAACTCTTGCTCTTTCAATTTCCAATCACTGATTAAAGTCGTCTTCTGTGCTAGCTGTGTCTGTAGCTCCATAATTGTTTCATTTTCATTGCCAGGGTTCTCCTTCTGCTCTAGCTTTTGCTGATATTTCTTCTGCAGCTCTTCAAGTTGAGTCTGCAGGTCCATTACTTTGGCAGTCATTTCTTCTTCATCCCGTGAACCAGATGTTTAGTTTTGCTTTCAAAGTGAAGAACATGCTTTGCTAGTCAAGATGATGGTCAGCATGTGGGAGCTTAGGAGTCCTCTGCAACACATCAGACAATGCAGCACTTCTCACAGCATGTTCCTGGGATACCTGGGGGCCCGGAGGCCTGTTAGGGTCTGTCTGCATAGTTATACTGAGCCACGGTCATCTTTTCCCCTCTCCTGCCATCCCCAGCACACAGCAGCATTACTGGGGCCCCGTGGCATTGCTGTGGCCCCGTGGCACATGATGGCACAGAACGGAACACAGTGGATGCGAGATCCCAGGCTTCTCATGAGCCCACTACTTATCTCTCATTTGTTTGTTTCAGAAAATGTTTTTTAAAAAATATATTAAAAATATGTTACATAATGGAAAAAAAATTTAATTTCTTTAAATTGGTTTTCACCTTTCTCTTGTGCCCCCTTAAGTAGCTTAATAGTCAACCTTTTGAATTCTTTTTCTGGCAATTCAGAGATTTCTTCTTGGTTTGGATCCATTGTTGGAGAGCTAGAGTGATCTTTTGATGGTGTTATAGAACTTTATTTGGCCATATTACCAGAATGACTTTTCTGGTTCCTTTTCATTTGGGTAGACTGTTTCAGTGGAAAGATCTGGAACTCAAGCATTGCTGTTCACATTCTTTTGTCCCAGGGATGCTCCCTTGATATTGTTCTCTCTCTCTTCCTCTATGGCTAGGGCTTCTGGAGAGCCAGACTGCAGTGATTGTTATTGCCCTTCTGGTTCTAGTCACTCAGTGGGGCTATGGCGCTCCAGGCTGGTGCTAAGAACTGTCAGCAAAGAGTCCTGTGATGTGATTCATCTTCAGGTCTTCTAGTCATGGATACCAGCACCTGGTCTGGTGAAGGTGGCAGGGAAGTAAAGTGGACTCTGTGGGAATCCTTGGTTGTAGTTTTGTTTTAGTGCACTGGTTTTAGTCCTAAGTTGTAGTTTTGTTTAGTGTGCTGGTTTTCTTGAATGCTGGTTATGTCAGCAGGGAAGTTGTCACATGGACAGACTCAGGACCTCTGGTTAGCCAGGGTGTTGCAGGTGGTGGAATTAGCTGTTGTTTTCTCCTTCTTTGGAGCAGGGTTTTCTCTTATGAGTTGCTGTAATGGCTTGAGTTGGCTGGCCTCCAGCCAGAAGGTGGTGCTTTCAAGAGAATGCCAGCTGCAGTAGTAGAAGGGGGTTATAATCTTTCCCTGCCTTGGCTAGGATGAGTTCTTGGGTTTCTCAGTAATGAACAAGACCATAGAGCTCCCAAGAGATCATTTCTTTTATCTACCCTGATAGATCATTTCTATCAGGGTGGGTAGAGAAAAACCATCAGACCATCAAGTGGGGGCAGGTTAGGTGAATCTAAGATCATACTCTCTTTGGGTGGGACTTGCTGTGGCCACTTTGGGGGTGGAGGGCTGGTTCTCAGGCAAATGGAGTTATGTTTCCGGGGGGATTATGGCTGTTTCTGCTGTGTCAAACAGGTCTCCAGAGATATGGGGGAAAGCTGGCAGTGACAGACCTCATCCAGCTCCCACAGAGCTGGCAAGGCCAGTCTCACTCCCACTATGCCTCCCCAGCTGCACTGAGGTTTATATACAGGCATCTGGTAGGCAGGCTGAGATCTTGCCCCAGGCTACAAGCCTCCTGGTAAGAAAGCAAGCAGGGCTCTCAGGCCTTATTCCTCTCTACCTGCCTGCACCATTGGCTGCAGCTTCTGTGCTTGTATCTTCACTTGCCATTTGTCTCCTCCTCCAGTTTCTACTTAGGAAAGTTTGTGCTCAGTCAAAATTATTACAAAGTTAAGCTAGGAGCTTCCTTTACCTTAAAGCCCTTTCCCAATTCCACTGGCTGCCTCCCCTTCCCAAGGACCCCTGTGAGATAAGGCCAGGAATGGCTTCCCTGGGGCTCGAGCTGGGGATCAGGAGTCCCTATAGGGCTCTTCCCACTACTTCTACTTTTTATATTTTGCTCGGCTCTCTAAATTCATTTCAACTCTAGGTAAGGTTAAATCCTCTTGTGATCTGGATTTTCAGGTTTTCCAATCGGGATATGTGTTCAGGGGCCAGCTTCTCACCTTCTCACACTTTGGGAACTCAGTTTATTGGCTACCTTGTGGTGTTTGTAGCAGCAAGTTGCTTCTTTCAAAGTGTCTGTGAATTCTATCAGTTTTCCTGGTATGTTCCTGCAGTGGCTCTTGGAGCAAAAGTTCACAGTGTAAGTCTCTATATGCTGTTCTGTCTGTCTAACTGGGAGCTGCACATTAGTCCTGTCTCCTATTCACCGTTCTTTTTTCCCTCTGATTTTCCTTTCCTTTGGATAAATACCCAGAAGTGGGATTGTTGGATCATATGGTATTTTTAGTTTTAGTTTTAGTTTTCTGAAGAAGCTCCGTAGTGTTTTCTATGATGGCTGTACTAATTTACATTTCCACCAACAATGTATAAGATTTATACATTGTTATTTATCAACATTTGTTATTTTTTGTCATACTGATAATAGCCATTCTAACCGGGGTAAGATCTCATTGTGGTTTTAGTTTGCATACCCTGATGATTGGTGATGTTGACCATTTAAAAAATATGTGTTGACTAGCCATTTGCATGTCTTCTTTCAAGAAATATCTATTCAGATGATTTGCTTATTTAAAAAAATTGAATTACTTGTTATTTTCCACTGTTGAGTTATTTGATTTCCTTATATATTTTGTTCTTAATCTCTTGCTGGATGGATACTTGCTGGATGACAAATACTTCCTTTCATTCTGTTGGCTGTCTCTTCATTCTGTTGTTTCCCTTGTGCAGAAGCTTTTTAGTTTGCTGTAATCCTTTTTCTCTATTTGGGCTGTTGTTGCTGATGCTTTTGAGGTCTTATCCAAAAATTCTTTGCCCAGACCAATGTCCTGAAGCATTTCCCCAATGTTTTCTTCTAGTAGTTTAATAGTTTGGGGTCTTAGATTTAAGTCTTTAATCCATTTTGAGTTGATTTGTGTATATGGTAAAAGAAAGGGGCCTAGTTTCATTCTTCTGCATATAGTTATTTAGTTTTCCCAGAACAATTTATTGAAGAGAACTGTTCTTGCTCTGATGTTTGTTCTTGGCACCTTTGTCAAAAATCAGCTGGCTATAAATGTGTGGATTTATATCTCAGTTCTCTATCCTGTCACATTTGTCTGTTTTTATGCTTGTACCATGCTGTTTTGGTTACTATAGCTTTGTAGTATATTTTGAAGTCAAGTATTTGTTGTTTTTACATAATGACAAATTTGTTTTTAACCTTTGTTCATTAGGGATGGAGCCTATAGAGGTGCCTCTTGAGGAAAATAATGAACGGGCTCAGATTTGCCAAAGCAAGGTCTGTGCTGACAGGTGAGACTTTGCAGCCAGTGAAAATCTCAACTTTATTGACATGCTGGCCCCAGAAGGGGAAGACAGCAATGCCCTATGCAATCTATCCTCTGCTACCCTTCAGTCCAGTTGCTTCCCATTTCCCACTCACATGCTTCTCTCTAACCACACTCTTGGCTCCTTGGTCTTCAAACCTACCAAGCATGTTCCCTTCTCAGGTCTTTGCACTTGCTCGTCCCTCTGCCTGGTGCTTTTCCCCTAGTTATACCTCCACAGAGCTTGTTCCCTCACCTCTGCCAGTTTCATCTCCAACAGGTCTCTGCTCAAAAGCCCCTTTCTGAGAGGACCACATGACTACTCACATAAACCAGCCCCACCCTTTCCATTTTTCCTGTTGTATTCACCTCCTTTGCATTTGTTGTTTCCAAGATATTGTATATTTGTTTATTGATCTTTTGTCCCTCACACTGGAATGCCTGTGTTGCTCCCTTCAGAGACTGGGACAGTGCCAAGAGGACAGTGTTGGGTGGGCAGACAAGATGACACAGAAGGAACAGTCTGGAGGGCATTGCAGCAGTTCAGAGGAGGCCTGATGGGGAGGGAAAAGACCTCATTTGCATTTGAGAAGACCAGCTGGTGTGTGTGGAGTGGTTGGAAGGGGGAAGAGGTGCAAGCAGGAAGGCCACATAAGCACCAGTGACAGCAACACAGGTGAGACAGGATAGAGGCTTGGACCGGGGTCAAAGAGAAACTCAGAAAGGCAGCAAGTATGTATGGAAATAGAATAACCTGAACTAGCTGATGATTGGAGGAGGAGGCTGAGAGTGAGGGCGGCAGATATCAAGACATCTCTCAGGTTTTTAAGGTGTAGCTTTCAGGTGATAACTCATAAATTATATACCATATTATGAATTATTGTCTAATCTGGGTTGCTGATGATAAATCATCTACTGAATTCTAGGAAATGTAAAGCAGGGTTGAATGTAATGGCATTGCTATTTTGTTTATTGATTGTACATGTTTCTAAGTCTTGTTATTGAATAAATCAAATGTCTGCATCCCTTGTTATCTAATCTGACCTGTATCTGAAAACATCTGGAATAGCAAATTTTCCAGTGTTTGGAAATGTACCCTATCTTAAACTCCAACCAATCCCCTCTTCACCCCTGCCCAAATTCTAAAACAGTTAACTATGTAACAGTTCACTAAAGATTTATATATAATAAAAAGCTTTCAAAGTGTTGATTGCTACCAGTTAACACAATGCACTCATTAGTGGGTAGGTTTGTGCTCGGTAGATGCTGATACCATCTGGTATCAAACCATATTGCATGTTTTGTGCACTGCCCTGAACATATACTATCACACAAGGCAGAAAATGGTATGCTAAATGCTGAATCTACATCCAAGTTGGACCCCAGTTATTACTACTCTGGGTGATAGGCAGAGGATCACTCTGGAAGTGTGAAGGGCTATACTCCCAGAAAAGCACAAAGATGATAATGTGATGATTGTGTTTGACACAGTGGAGCATCCTGGGCACTGGTCCCCACCTTGGAGCCTGAAGAGTAAAGCACACTCTACATCTCCTCGCCAGTACTTGCACCAATGTCACCCACTTACACATTCATTTAGCACATTTTTAATTACAACAATGAATTTTGGATAAACAAAATTCTAGAGGATTCTTAAGCTTTCAAACACCAGATTGATATATGTATTTCTTATCTGTAACTCACAGGCACAGTGTTCATTTTACAAACCAAATGCGTCAGTCTGTGTTTAAGAGAAAATATTTCAATCAGGCCCATAGTGAAAAAATAGGACACATTTCTGGGTTCAAGCCCTTCTGAAAGCAAAATATCACTCTGGAAGTTCTCAAAATCTAAGCTTTATGGTTCTCTGTGTCAATAATTACTAGTAAAAATGCCTTTCCAGGAGAAATGTTTCAGCTTTTTATTTGGTCTGAAAGCTTCACACGAGCCACAGATGGCAGGTCTTCCTGTGCCTTGGAAATCTCCTTGCAGCATCTGTCACTTCAGGCTGCCTTCTCTTCGGGGCTCATGCAATGTTTAGTTTTATTTTATTTTGTAATCTAACTTTTTGCAATTTAGATTATTATTTAAATACATACTATGTAACAGTTCACCCATTCCCTCTCTCTTTTTCCAGGGTAAATACTTATGATTGTGGAGAAAAAATTTCAAGCTGGTTGTCAACATTTTTTGGGCGTCCTTGTCATTTGATCAAACAAAGTTCAGACTTTCAAAGGAATGCAAAGAAAAAACATGGAAAAGGTATTACATTTTTAATTGGTTTTTAGAGACAGGAGCCCTGGCTTACCCTTGTGCACTTACAGGTGACTTGCTCATGTATGGAGAGCTAGGGGGTCAGCCTTTGGCAGAAATCTGTTGCAGTAGCCCCGGGTCAGCAGGAGGAGTGGGGTCCAGGGTCCCCATAAGGAGGCTGAGGAGGGCATAAAGCCAGCTGCCCAACTCTGCTCAAACATTCGGCCTTAGTCCTGCATGTTCAAAGGCACAATGAATCCAGTTGTATTAAATAAAAACACCAATCGCTTTCTATGTCCTCAGATTGGATCTGAATCAAGGAAACCTAGGTTGCTAGTTTTTAGCTCTCTCACCAAACGGTAATGTGACCTTGGTAAATCCTTGAACCCTATGGTGCCTCAATTTCTGTAGACCTCAGCTACTCAGACTTTTAAAAGTTTCGACAATTTTTCCCTTCATAAGCTATTGTTAGGATGAAGTGAGGCAGTTGAGGTGAAAGTACTTTGACCCAGATGTGCAGAAAAGATCATTTTCACGTGTCTGCTCAAACGTCACCTCCTTAGAGAAGCCTGGCTGATTATCCTTTTCAGAACAGCAGCCTGTACCTGAACCTCTGCAGCAATGTAGCAACCTTTTCTATTTCATTTTTCTCAGTGGCACTTTTTAAAAAACACCCTTCTGACTATATATTTTGCTCATTTATTTTGTTCTGTTTTCCTTTTAGTAGATGTAAGCTCTATGAGGATAGGGATTGTTGCTTGTTTTCTTTTCTTTTTTTAATTTATTTTACTTTAGGTGCATACTATATCTGGCATTTTTCCCCACCCTCCCTACCCCCCATTGGCTTTCCTCTACCCCCCAACTGTCCCCTGTGTGTGATGCTCCTCTCCCTGAGTCCACGTGTTCTCGTTGTTCAACACCCACCTATGAGTGAGAACATACGGTGCTTGGCTTTCTGTTCTTGGGTCAGTTTGCTAAGAATGATGGTTTCCAGATTCATCCAAGTCCCTACAAAGGACATGAACTCATCGTTTTTTTATGGCTGTGTAGTATTCCATGGTGTATATGTACCACATTTTCTTTGTCCAGTCTATCATTGATGGGCATTTGGGTTGGTTCCAGGTCTTTGCTATTGCACACAGGGCTGCAATGAACATATGTGTGCATGTGTCTTTATAGTAGAATGATTTTTAGCTCTTTGGGTATATACCCAATAGTGGGATTGCTGGGTCAAATGGAATTTCTATTTCTACATCCTTGAGGAATTGCCACACTGTCTTCTACAATGGTTGAACTAATTTACACTCCCACCAACTGTGTAAGAGTGTTCCTATTTCTCCACATCCTCTCCAGCATCTGTTGTCTCCAGATTTTTTAATGATTGCCATTCTAACTGGTGTGAGGTGATATCTCAGTGTGGTTTTGATTTGCATTTCTCTAATGACCAGTGATGATAAGCATTTTTTCATATGTTTGTTGGCCTCATATATGTCCTCTTTTGAAGAGTGTCTATTCATATCCTTCACCCACTTTTTTAATGGTTTGTTTTTTTTTTTTGTTTATCTGTTTTAGTTCTTTGTAGATTCTGGATATTAGCCCTTCATCAGATGGGTAGATTGCAAAAATTTTTTCCCATTCTGTTGGTTGCCAGTTCACTCTAATGATGGTTTCTTTTGCTGTACAGAAGCTCTGGAGTTTAATTAGATCCCATTTGTCTATCCTGGCTTTTATTGCCATTGCTTTTGGTGTTTTAGTCATGAAGTCCTTGTCTATGCCTATGTCCTGGATAGATTTGCCTACCTTTTCTTCTAGTGTTTTTATGGCGTTATGTTTTATTTTTCAATCTTTGATCCATCTGGAGTTAATTTTAGTGTAAGGTGACAGGTAGGGGTCCAGTTTCTGCTTTCTGCACATTGCTAGCCAGTTTTCCCAACACCGTTTATTAAACATGAAGTTCTTTCCCCATTGTTTGTTTTTGCTGGGTTTGTCAAAGATCAGATGGTTGTAGATGTGTGGTGTTTCTTCTGGGGTCTCTGTTCTATTCCATTGGTCTATGTCTCTGTTTTGGTACCAGTACCATGCTGTTTTGATTACTGTAGCCTTTTAGTATAGTTTGAAGTCCAGCAGTGTGATGCCTCTGGCTTTGTTCTTTTTGCTTAGGATTGTCTTGGCTATGCAGGGTCTTTTGTGATTTCATATGAAATTTAAAGTGCTTTTTTCCAGTTCTGTGAAGAAGGTCATTGGTAGCTTGATGGGGATAGCATTGAATCTATAGATTACTTTGGGCGGTATGGCCATTTTCACTATATTGATTCTTCCTAACCATGAATGTGGAATGTTTCTCCATCTGTTTGTATCCTCTCTTATTTCATTGAGCAGTGGTTTGTAGTTCTCCTTGAAGAGGTCCTTTACATCCTTTGTTAGTTGTATTCCTAGGTATTTTATTCTCTTTGTAGCAATTGTGAATGGCAGTTTGCTCTTGATTTGGCTCTCTGTTTGTCTGTTATTGGTATATAGGAATGCTTGTGATTTTTGCACATTGATTTTGTATCCTGAGACTTTGCTGAAGTTGCTTATCAGTTTCAGGAGNAGATTCTGGATATTAGCCCTTCATCAGATGGGTAGATTGCAAAAATTTTTTCCCATTCTGTTGGTTGCCAGTTCACTCTAATGATGGTTTCTTTTGCTGTACAGAAGCTCTGGAGTTTAATTAGATCCCATTTGTCTATCCTGGCTTTTATTGCCATTGCTTTTGGTGTTTTAGTCATGAAGTCCTTGTCTATGCCTATGTCCTGGATAGATTTGCCTACCTTTTCTTCTAGTGTTTTTATGGCGTTATGTTTTATTTTTAAATCTTTGATCCATCTGGAGTTAATTTTAGTGTAAGGTGACAGGTAGGGGTCCAGTTTCTGCTTTCTGCACATTGCTAGCCAGTTTTCCCAACACCGTTTATTAAACATGAAGTTCTTTCCCCATTGTTTGTTTTTGCTGGGTTTGTCAAAGATCAGATGGTTGTAGATGTGTGGTGTTTCTTCTGGGGTCTCTGTTCTATTCCATTGGTCTATGTCTCTGTTTTGGTACCAGTACCATGCTGTTTTGATTACTGTAGCCTTGTAGTGTAGTTTGAAGTCTGGCAGTGTGATGCCACCAGGTTTGTTCTTTTTGCTTAGGATTGTCTTGGCTATGTGGGGTCTTTTGTGATTCCATATGAAGTTTAAAGTGTTTTTTTCCAGTTCTGTGGAAAAGGTCATTGGTAGCTTGAAGGGGATACCATGGAATCTATAGATTACTTTGGGCAGTATGGCCATTTTCATGATATTGATTCTTCCTAACCATGAGCATGGAATGTTTCTTCATCTGCTTGTGTCCTCTCTTATTTCGTTGAGCAGTGGTTTGTAGTTCTCCTTGAAGAGGTCCTTTACATCCTTTGTTAGTTGTATTCCTAGGTATTTTATTCTCTTTGTAGCAATTGTGAATGGCAGTTTGCTCTTGATTTGGCTCTCTGTTTGTCTGTTATTGGTATATAGGAATGCTTGTGATTTTTGCACATTGATTTTGTATCCTGAGACTTTGCTGAAGTTGCTTATCAGTTTGAGAAGATTTTGGGCTGAGATGATGGCGTCTTCTAGATATACAATCATTTCATCTGCAAATAGAGACAGTTTGACTTCCTCCTTTCCTAATGGAATACCCCTTATTTCTTTTTCTTGCCTCCAATACTATGTTGAATAGGAGTGGTGAGAGAGGGCATCCTTGTCTAGTGCCTGATTTCAAAGGGAATTCTTCCAGCTTTTGCCTGCTCAGTATGATATTGGCTGTAGGTTTGTCGTATATAGCTTTTATCATTTTATGATACGTTCCATCAATACCTAGTTTATTGAGAGTTTTTAGCATGAAGGGCTGTTGAATTTTATCGAAGGCCTTCTCTGCATCTATTGAGATAATCATGTGGTTTTTGTCTTTGGTTCTGTTTATGTGATGGATTACATTTATGGACTTGCGTATGTTGAACCAGCCTTGCATCCCTGGGATGAAGCCTACTTGGTCGTGATGGATAAGCTTCTTGATGTGCTGTTGCAATCTGTTTGCCTGTATTTTATTGAAGATTTTTGCGTCAATGTTCATCATGGATATTGGTCTGAAGTTTTCTTTTTTAGTTGAGTCTCTGCCTGGTTTTGGTTTCAGGATGATGTTGGTCTCATAAAATGATTTAGAGAGGATTCCCTCCTTTTGTATTGTTTGAAACAGTTTCAGAAGGAATGGAAGCAGCTGCTCTTTGTAGGTCTGGTAGAATTCGGCTGTGAAGCTGTCTGGACCTGGACTTTTTTTGGTTGGTAGACTATTGATTGCTGCCTCTACTTCAGCTCTTGTTATTGGTCTATTCTGGGTTTCAGCTTCCTCCTGGTTTAGTATTGGTAGAGTACAAGTGTCTAGGAATTTATCCATTTCTTCCTGGTTTACTGGTTTATGTGAGTAGAGCTCTTTGTAGTAATCTCTGATGGTAGTTTGTATTTCTGTGGGATCAGTGGTGAAATCCCCTTTATCGTTTTTTATTGCATCTATTTGATTCTTCTCCATTTTATTTTTTATTAATCTGGCTAGCAGTCTATTTTGTTGATCTTTTCAAAAAACCAGTTCCTGGATTTATTGATTTTTTGAAGGTTTTTTTTGTGTCTCTATCTCCTTCAGCTCTGCTCTGATCTTAGTTATCTCTTGCCTTCTGCTAGCTTTTGAGTTTTTTTTTTTTTATCTTGCTCCTCAATTTTGATGATAGTTCTTTCAATTTTGATGATAGGGTGTTGACTTTAGATCTTTCCTCTCTTCTGTGGTGGGCATTTATTGCTATAAATTTCCCTCTCAATACAGCTTTAAAGGTGTCCCAGAGATTCTGGTAAGTTGTGTCTTCATTCTGGTTGGTTTTGAAGAACATCTTTATTTCTGCCTTCATTTCATTGTTTATCCAATCAACATTCAGAAGCAAGTTGTTCAGTTTCCAAGTGGTTGTGTGG